CGTGTAAGGGAGCAGAACTGCAGCTGCTTACAGCAGGATAGATTTGGCTCTTACGCGCTCTTAATCCTGACCTTCACAAGCAATTCCTAGCTTCATCCACCCCAAGCCTAATGCATCATTACCATCTATTGCCTATCTGACCGTCAGCACAGCACTTAACACGCAGCTTGAGCCCCCTGAAGAAAAAAAATCCATGGAGAACTCGGAGAACATCAGTGTAAATTATTTCCCCATGGATTAAACCCCAAGCAAGTATTTCAGGTGCGGGAAAATGCCAGTGCAAATGCGTGGATTTCCAAAGCATCTACCAAAGTTCAACCCCTCAGCCTTCTTTCACTGATTTTTAAAACTTGTGAGAAGGTAAGGGATTAAACCAAGGATATTCAGGCAGTGTGTCATGAACCACAGTTATCTTCCATCATGCCAGTGAAATGAACGTAATCAGCTGAAAGTACTCAACAAATCCAACCCTCTTGATGCCTGCAGCAATTTTTGTGTCACTTAGCTCTTGTCAGGGTTTGAATTCTTAACTTCTCCCTACACCTCCCCAGGAACTTAAATACTTCAGATTGAACTGATCCAACTCATCAGAGTCCCTTTATGCTACCAGCCGGAATTGCCTGAGGCCAGGATCACTGCTGGGGGCTCCCCAGCCGCTAACGTGGGTGCACACTGGCCAGCAGACCACCCAGCAAACCTTCCAGCCCTTGGCAGGCAGCGGTACTTGAAAATTTACTTAATTCTTGTTACTGGGCTGTAGCGACTGGAGAGCCAGTCTTAACTCCTACCAGACATTGACTGACTCCCTCCTCGGTGCTGGGTTGTCGCAGGGCAAAGGGGATGCAAACTACAAAGCGATCTTTTGAAATACTTTGCACATTTTTTTATTTGGACTAGCTGGTGCTGGACATGGGACTTCCTTACTGCAACCATGGATATATTATGCTGTTCAGCATTAGCAGTTATTTGGATCACTTGTACGGCGGGATTCAACAAACTGAGAAGTAAAAGGTAACTATGTAAAAGGTTGCTGATGAATTCTTAAATACTTTGGTGTTGAATTAATCAAGCGTATCCATGCTAGGAAATCTTTCCCTTATTAAAAATAAAAGGCCAGATGTTAGCGCATACCAGTTTGCATAGCTCCTCTGCTCAGTGGGGCCGTATCAGCTTGTACCTCGTGAGGTTCTGAACAAAAATACCTACTCTCAATACAATTTTAAGCAGTTCGCTCTCAGCTTCCTTGCGTGTGAAAATGCACAGAACCTTCCTCTAAGCTTCCTCCCTGCCCTCCCCTCCAACCAAAGTGGATTTTGCCTTGCCAAATGTCTATATTCCAGCAGGATTAGACTGGCAGAAATTAATAGGTTTACATTTAAATGAAAAACATGGTGTAACATTTTGACAAGTCCTGAAAAATTACAATGCGTGTTTTGGGCAGTTGAAATTTAAAAGTAAAGAAACTAATGCCATATATAAGGGATAGTGCCTTTAACTGTATACCAAACGTCAGGATGGCTGAAATGACATATTTCCGTTTCAAGGCAGAGTCAATAACCCCTCCCTACTCAGCCGAGCTATGAAGGACACGATTAGCTTTAATTTTCAGGAGAATTAAGTATGTGCTTACTGCTTTTGTTAAATAGAGATGGACCTTGTTGCATTGCGACCAAATACAAAGGAAAAGGGAGCCAGTGAGGATGTATACTTAAATGCTCCAAACAATAATTCGATTATTTATATAATCCGGGGCGAACCATTTTTTATTGGTGTGGGAGGGAAAACACAATAAGCTAGGTTTGTGCTAAAGAATTAGTCTGGCAAAAAAAAGAGGGAGAATGTAACTTTATAGGTAGTTTTTTTATTAGTTTGCTTCACCAGTAAATATGGATCAGTACTTTATGTTTTAGCACTAAAGTATGAAAATTACACACCTGTAAAAATGGCATCTAACAGTTATGAAATTAAGAAACGCCTGTCATCATGTAACATACCACTAGGTGTGAGGTCATATTCAAGAAATAGTAAGGAAATTAATGTGTTTAAAATATTGAATAGCTTAGTAATGTAAAATATTGCTACCTTCAATATATCTGAAAACAGGACTGATTTTGGATTGTAGTAGATTTCTCACTGTATTGGCTCTGATGAGAATAAAACCAAAGTACTTTCCTATCATAGGGCTGGTTAAAAACTAAAATCGACATTTTTCTGAATACATGGGGAAACTTCGCAATTGTAAATTCAAAACCTATCACTGTGTCCCACATATGAATTGCATCTAATTTAGAATTATATTGTATGTAATTTATATATTCCATGTGAAGCAAGTCTTGGGCCTGTAAGTGTACAAAACAGCGATTTGAAACAATACAGAAATAATTGTTTCAGCTCCACAAGGCTATTACACCTTCACTGTAGCTCATAATCACCTGCCACGTTTTGTTAAGAAAAGGATGAACACTGCTCATCCACTCCACTGGAATGCAGATACCGATAACAAAAAAGATTTCTCACTGTATTGGCTCTGATGAGAATAAAACCAAAGTACTTTCCTATCATAGGGCTGGTTAAAAACTAAAATCGACATTTTTCTGAATACATGGGGAAACTTCGCAATTGTAAATTCAAAACCTATCACTGTGTCCCACATATGAATTGCATCTAATTTAGAATTATATTGTATGTAATTTATATATTCCATGTGAAGCAAGTCTTGGGCCTGTAAGTGTACAAAACAGCGATTTGAAACAATACAGAAATAATTGTTTCAGCTCCACAAGGCTATTACACCTTCACTGTAGCTCATAATCACCTGCCACGTTTTGTTAAGAAAGGATGAACACTGCTCATCCACTCCACTGGAATGCAGAATACCGATACCAAAACTGTGACGTGATCATTAAAATAATAAATATGGTATGAAGGGGTACAGTATCTGTTGTAGAAAGACTCCACCTGGCCTAGCATTCAAGATTTAAGATTTGAGGATCACTGTAGTTAGCAAAACTTCACTGCATTTAAACAAAACGGAAAAAGCGTATGTTTGTTGTCATGGAATGTCACATCAGGGCTTGTCTTGTATTAGGATATTATAGGCAGTAACACTGATCATATAGTGCAAACTAGATAAAATTGCGTTTCACTGTGTGAAATAAACAGAGGTGCAAATGCTCAGTAGGATACCATTAAGACATAAAATGGCAAAAAATAAATATCAAAACTTTTATCAGTGTAAAAAAGTAATTGGGTTATTGTATAACCTAGAGTCTGGCAAAAAAGGCCTCAAAAAAGTTCACTCAGTCTTCAGAAGTTCTACAAATTAAGTGCCTTTTCAGGTTTCCAATTAGACAAGAGACTCCATGCTTTCTGCGGGATCAGATTCGTCACTGGCCATCACAGCACCATTTTTGTCCAGTGTCATGGGACCGTTTCCATTTTCCTTAGTGCTGACTAAGCTTAGCATTGCCTTATAAAGAAACTGGTACTGCTCCTGGAAAAGAAAAGATAAGTTATTTCAACCCTTTCCGTGTACATAACTGAGTGGCACTTAAATTTGGCGTTTCCAGGGAAGGTCGCGGATATTCATTACTAGAAGCATACATATAGCAAAGAAAAGACTTAGAGAGCAATTACCTCTGTTAATCTAGTTTAACCTTGTCAACCCAAAATCCCAGTTTTGGGTAGATTATATTATTCCTGATATATTATTAAACACTACAGGAGGGCAGGACAACACCTGACCCCATGGCTGTTCCCTTGTACCGGCAGAGCCACGCACACCAAGACAAGGGTGCTGCTTTCGCTGCGCACTGAGCGAAGAGCCCCTCTTGTTGATGCTTTATCTCCCTGCAGCTCTACCTGCCCGCTGCTGCGTCCCTTCAGATCACAACGTGCCGGGTTTAAATAGCACAGCTTAACTTACACGGCTGGCAGGGGCACGATGACAAGCTGAAAGGCCCTTCTCTGCTAGGGCTGCCTGTACAGTGACCCCCTAACTGTATGAGAAATAAGCTTAACTGCAAACCAGAGACTTACAGTGTGGGTTTGAGGTTTATAAAAAATTACTACTATACAGAAAAAGCACAAATGCCAATTCTGCTTGGTAGCAGATGCAGTAGGGCTTGATAACATACAGAGTGTGTGTTTTAGTTCATGCTTTTGGTCTCAGATGAAAACCTTGTAAACTACCCATTTATATTCCATTTAAAGACTTACAATGTCTGTAAATACTCCAGGCCGCATAAGATTTATCATCTTTGCCACCTGGAAAACATCAACAGCATTTTCGTTCTCCAGCTGCTGGGACAGAGTGGTAAGGGCACATAGCGTTCCCGCTGACACAGCTCCATACCTGAAAAAGCACACCAAAATGATAAGATACTCAGAAACATACCCGGGCACCGACACAGAGCCATGAAAATGTTGATATAGTCTTATTTGATTACTGTAGTTCATCTTTGTATCTATTAAATGCTTGTTTTATACTGGCTAATTTTTAGTCATTTTAATTTATAGAAGAAATTTGATGGTACACTAGTCATCCTAAGCTATCTGCGGTATTCAATACAAAGAACTGTATCAGAAGAAAAACGTGAGCCATTTAAAAGTACTCAGCCTGGAGAGTGTAACACTGAAATCAGTTCTCACATGCCATGTGCACTGAAAGCACCTGCATTATAGCTGAGCGTATTTTAAATTCATTAGTGGGAGCTCAAGCAAAACATAAACGATTAGAAAGAAATGAGACTTTGCCTCTTCCTCCACATCTGACAATTATAGAAAACTAACACGGGTATGAGGTGCTCACAAGTAAACGGGGCACGTCTCAAAGTCTTCCTTAGGTCTGACTCATCGGCAAAAGGCAACATCCCCGAGCTGGGCACCCCAGAGACATTACGGATTCTGAAGAGTTGAGCTGTGCTGTCATTTAATAAGAACCCAAGCAACAGTTATTCGTCAGGAGCATGAATCAATGCGTCCTTGAGATACTGGCCAGGTAGAAATCTTATGCTGCTAAATCTGTGGGTGTACTTGAAGCATGCGTGCAGTTGCAGGGCACGGGATAGAGGCTCCTAAGCGACAGGAGCTCATAACTGCTTCTGAGGAGCCTCAACTGCCCTCTGCTCTTCCAGTACACGGGAGACTGCAATTCTGTCCTGGCTCTGCTATGGGTTTGCTCTGTGACTTCGAGAAAGTCTGTGTCTAAGTGTCCCCACCTGTAAAAGGGGACATTGGTGCTGATTTGCTCTGTAACCATTTGGAGAGCTGTACATGGAAACTTAAATAATCGGCAAGTGCTGCAATGCCATCTGGTATGGTAAGATTACCACTAGGATTTTTACAACATTCCTGTGGAAATCAAGACATATGCTGACTTAATTTTGTATGATTTTTGCAAACTCAATTTGCCTAGAAATGGGAAACAGAAATCAGATCACAACAGATCTGCTATATTGGATGAAAAGTCTACAGAAGAAGCAGCAGAGCTTCTGCAGAACTATATAGATGGCTGTGACTGATCACCTACAGGGACAGTGGACAAAGTGGCCAATGCTTGTGCCTGATGGGACACAACTAAATGCCTCTGAGGGTCTAATGGCCTCATTTTTACTTGGGCTGATAACCTCCAGCTCCCAACAATCTGAAGGCTTTTCTCTCAGAAAATTTGCAGCAAATCTTTATCTAGTTGCCTACATATGGGCAGTTATATTTAAAAAACTTGACAACTGTCTCGAGTTGGAATTTCTGAACTTCTTTGAAATGTTATCAAGTTCATCCCACCATGTACTTCCTAAATACCACATGCATTTAGTATCTGCAAATTCATATATTTGGAATTAATCTGCAGTTGTAATTATTAGTGGATTATGTGATATAGTTGTTGCATGTAGTAAGGGGAAATTTTCATTTTCAGCTACATTTGCTTAGGCTCCAATGAAAAGCAGAATCCACATTATGTATTAGGCATGAAAATAAAATCATTGAATATGACAAATAAACCAAAAAAGCAATTTACAGAAAGAATGACTCAGCACTGTTAGGAATGCAATTTTGATTTTTTTTTTTTTTTTGGTCTAGCGTGAAATGCCCAAATCAATAATGGTTCTAATTTTGTAAAACATAATCTTAAATACTGCAAGAGTAGCAAAACCTCACTTCAGACTACCCAAAGCATGAATATTAAAACTAGCCCGGAATTAATCAGTGCTGGCAAAAGGCAACAGACCTTACACTGTGCATTAGCAAGGCAGGAGACGGTGGGAGAAAAACTACTTGCTGCAGCCCAAGGCACCATTTGCAGGAGTCAGTTGGGAAAAACCTGTTGCAGCAGCAGCACTCCGATGTGAAGTGAAAGCTCTTGCAGCAACGGCAGATACCAGCATGCAATCGCACACCAGCACAAAGGCTGATCTGACCACTGAAATACCAGAGTATGGCAAGAACGTTTTTGCACAAAAGGTGAAGATTTCCAAGACTTTGGCACTAAGTCTGTTTTGTAGCAATGACAAAAGGTCTAATGGACTCGAGTGCGGGGGGGTTGCAGGTATAGCAGTCATTTATGCTGGCTTGGTGTTCGCTTAAGGGCAACTCAAGCAGTGTCAGAAATTGGGCTTCCTTGTGATTTTAACGGCAGAATGACTCTGGGAAGTGCTCTGCCCACCAGGAAACAGTCCTTCCAAAGAAATCCTGATAGACCCAGGCTCCAGCTTCACTACAATGGTATTTTGCAGCTCCATAATGTGTGCAAAGTAGTAACAAGCAATGCAATATTTAGCACCCTTTATAATTGGGCATTCAAGCATAGCTGGCAAGACAATGCTCACCACTGCACTACAAAAGAGACAAGTGTTGGGGCATGCTGGCCCTGTGTTAGCGGGCTCCCTCCCTCCCACTTGGCACCATATGGGCCCCTTGGAGTGTTTTTGGGGAAGCAGAAGGAGGAAAAATAAATCTGCTTTCAGAAAACCTGGGCCCTTTGTCACAAGATACTTCTGCTGCTCATCCCAAGACACAGCTGAGCCGAGCTTGTTCTGTCTTACACGGCGTATTAAACCTGAGCTGTTAGACAGGAGCTCAGGGCTGTTTTGAAACTGGTTTCCATAAGCCCATGTTGGGCTGCTCAGAGCCTTATCTAAACCAGGGCTCTGCTGGGTTCTGAAACAGGTTGTAAGATTTGTTTGGGATAATTCCAGGTGCAGAAGAACCCAAAATGATTACAAAGCAAACATAGCTTCACTTTCTAAGTCCACCTAAGACTACAACCAACATAAAAATGACACTAAGCAAACTGTATTTGGCCTCAGATGCCAACTGAAACCTCATCCCCAGAAGTTTAAATATTCTGATCCTGTTCCCTAGACCACTAAACCCCATCTACTCCATGCAAGAATGGACATCAATCCTAACAAGTGTCCTGTAGCCGAGTAACTCCTCCTACAACCTGCACATAAATGGGAGAAAAGAGATGACATACTCATCATGAACTATGGTGGGGCCATCCCTTGTTAAGGCCTCTTCCTTGATTACATTGATAAGTTCAAAGGTACTGCTTATGGGAGCATCTGGGTTTGGCCATTTAGGACACTGAAAGTGGCGGACTTCCAGAACGTAGTCATCCTGCAATGAAAAACCAGCCTGGGCATTAGCTACTTCAGTTTCACATTTATCCACTCCAGGCAGAAAGAGGGAAGAGCCTCACTACAAACCGAAGAGATACCTTCTTCTTCCAAAGAGTTATAGAGAATGAGGAAGACAGACGCACAGCTCCAGCATCTCTGTAACAGTGAATGCGCTAAAATAACGCAACTTTAACAAAACGTTTAACTGATAGGTTTTGTATTTGAGTTCAGGGCTTATACCCATATAAACCTTCTCTCAGAGCCCTTACAGCTCAAAAGTCAAACAAGAGAAGAGCAACCAAGGAATTCAAATTTAAAAGGGCTTGCAAACTAATGTTTTGCAGCAAAATCTTAAGACCCCCCCAAACAATTAAACTATAAATGCTGAATTTTATAAGCAGAAATAGGACAATAAATCTTGGTGCACTTTACAAAGTATAATTCAATCTACTTGTATGATTTCAAAATGAAAAACTAATGTCTTCACTTTCAAATAAGACAAACAATACTACAGTCTCACTAGCTAGAGGAATCTACCTGGAAGTAAAAGATGTGAGAGGGAGAAGGAGCCAGTGAGAATACCCTTCCCCTGTGAGCAACGTGCATGCACGTGGATTTACAAGTAAATCCTTTTCAAAACTGTTTCTGAACATTTCATCTTCCATATTTAAATGACATCAATAACATTTTGGGGAAAAGCCAAGACCCACATCTGGAGTTTTATTTTACCTGGGTAGCTTCAAGGATAAAATCGTGGATGATAATTTGCTCTTCGTTAGAGAGGCACAGTCTGTCTTTGCTGATAAGGGTCACAGTAAAGGCCTCACAGTTCATGGATTCCTCGCGACTTGGCCAGTACACAAACTCATCTTCTGCCTGGAGGAATGAAACAACACACTACTGCAGCCTTTCAGATACCTTGTGTGTGACTGAAAAATCCACTGGATTAAAAAATTGGTTTGATACATAGAGATGATCAGGAGCTGACCTTTAAAAACCATTTCTGTCTAAAACAGATTTACTATTACAGTAGGCAGTAAGCCTGCCAGATCCTTCCTTTGTGTGTCCAAACAGGTAACGTCTGCTTTTTAATTGGTTTCATAGGGAAATGGTTATCTTAGCTCACTCATACTTAACCTTTGTATTGTATCCCAGGCTTTATTACCTCCTGCCTACACAGTTTTGCATGAAAGTCAGGTATCTGTTTAGAAAAAAAACTCACTGACCTTTAAAAATTAATTGCTTATTATTTTTAATTTGTATTTATTGTGGTCTAATCCAAAACTCAAGGGTATCAGTAGAAGGTCTGTGGATCAGGTCTAGGTAGAAGACTGATGGATACTTATGTAGGGGTTGAATTTTTAGGAGCGAGAGGAGGAGTGAGGAGAAAGGAAGAAACCCAAATATTCTTAGCCTTGAAAAAAACACTGGCTTAACTTAATGCAAATTCTCTAGCAAAATGCCTCTACTGAAGGGATGCTATAAAATCTCAGTGAGACTGTGAATGGTGGAAGAAGCTCAGTGCTGAAGTAGCCTAACTGACAGGGTGTAGATAAAATACTGTCAAAGCTATTCTTTAAAAAATAACTGTGCATTCCTAATTCACTGCAGAGAAAAGAAATTAGGCTCTGTCATCACATAGATGCAAAGCTTGTTTCTCCTCCTGGCTTCAGGGATCTACTGTCCCTGCAGCTTAAGCACAGAAGCTACCCCGTCAGCATGCACGGCACTGCACGCCCGCGTCTCTGAACAACCCGTGTTTTACTCATGAGAAAACATGAGCTACGAGCCCACTTCATCCCGCTGCGGCCATGAGCACGTCTCTTAAGACCAGGCTTATTTCTGTGGGCCTGGAGCCTTGATGCACATGATGTGCAAGATACTGGTGACATTTGGGCCTTAAATGATTATTCTGAAACTGGGACTTAGGGTCCTAAGTCCTCCGAGTGCTTTGAAAATTCTGCCCTCAGTGTGCAGAGACGCCAGCAAGCAGCATAATATCGCTGAACGCCAGGGAAGTGACCTGTCTGGCCAAGTGACAGGTCCTTGTGCAGCAGTAGTGTGCATTATCATCTCGTCCTTTGGCATTACACCTTCAGCACCTTGACACGGTCTCAGTCCCGTGCCACCCATCCTTGCCAGCTAACAACCCACACCAAACACTGAGCCAGTGCACGGATGCTGCTGCCCTGCTGGCCAACCTCCACCCTGGGCACGGCGAAGGTGAAAGCTGGGGCCAGGCGTCCTTGCAAAGGGTGCGGCCAAGTCCAGCGTTCCTCCTTTACTCTTTAATCACTATTGTTCTGCAGAGCTGTTTCATATACTTGTAAAGCCAAGATCAGCCTCTTCATTTCCACCTGACACACTTTCATTAGTGCTTTCTGATTCGATCGGATTTCTCTGAACGCTCTTCGCCTTGCAGTGCTGCAATCCCTTTCATCGCGCTGCACACAGGAAGCGTATCGACTGCTGCCTCTTTAGTAGCCCCTCATGACTGCTATTTTCTTGCTGTAATGAAGGTGGTTTCTCTCCCACTATCAGCTACAATCGTCTATTCACCTCAGTGATGCGTGCATGAAAAAACGAACCATTTAGTTCTTAATCCTTTTCAATGCGTCCTCTTGAGACGTGCTAGTAAATCTGGAAGTAGTGATTAGCACTTCACCTGTATCTCCTTTTCTCTCTGTCTCATTATTTCCACTTAAATTAACATACATGTTTGCTTTTTACTTTCATCAAAACCAGCATTTGTAACCTTCCATAGCGGTAGTCTTGCATGGCCTGAGCCTTAAGCCCCCCGGGCAAACAAGCAACCATCCTACTGTCCCTGCTTCGTATTTCTGCTCCTCTCAAAGTCCTTACCCATGGCCCTGGCCATCCAGTAACCTCAGTGCTTTGCATCCCACCAGCCAGGCAGCCCTCAGGAGCTTCGCAGAGATCGTCATCCCTGGCGTGCTGCCTGTGAGCACTGTGGCCCATCCAGCTCAGGATGTCTTTCTCAGGGGTGAGGGCAGAAGGGGAGAGCAAAAAACCATGCCCCACACCTCGGAACCTGTCTTTTTGTAACAAGCGTATGGCGAAGTTTGAGAAGGTGGCTCAAAAATTGGCTTTGCTTTCAACCGGAAAATAGCCATAGCATGCAACTAAGTGACCCTACGCTGGTGCCCAGCTGGGCTAAGTGACTGCGGTACTGCACAGGGAGGGACACGTTTAACTCACCAGGCTCTGGTTGTCCGGCAGCATGACGATGATCTGTGCATTGTGATCCCAGATCATTCGCCAGAAATCTTTAGTCGTATGTGGCAGCGGATGTTGGGTTATGATGAACTCGTTACTCCTGTAGTAGCCCTTTTGCAACAAAACAAACCACACAGTTACTTACTGTCTTCAGTACTTTTAAAGCATTAATTTCATCTTTGGGGACACATAATAACCCTATTTCATTTTATTCCACAATATTTTCACACAGACTATAATTTTATAACTCCATTTCCATTCTGCAGCATCGCTGTTGTTTTCATTTAGTCTAAATCCCAGAATTTATTTGACTGTATCTCATGGAAATACACATTCCATCTAAATGCATCTTGTATTTAATTTTTTTAGGCAGCAATCTTTAATAAAACACAGTTAATAGCTTTACATTATGGGGAAGGTGTTAAAATCTCGTCTGTTAATACACAGCCATTACATACAGAATTAAGACAATTACAGGCATCTGGTATTTAGCACCTTAGAATTGATTTTACTTTGTAATTAGGTGTTGGCTTCCTCACCATGATATAAGAGGCATTAATGTAATCTGTTCCCTTCATTCCAGGCAGCGGTGCCAAGCCCACTCTAGCACGCTCAGCTATAAGATTAAAAAAAACAGAGAGGAAAAAAAAAAAAGATCAAAGTCTGGTCATGGCACAATGCAGGAAGTAAGAATTTCTCAGACGTTAACAAACCAAACACTGTGCAGCTCCCATCTCCCGCAGGAGCAGGCCAGCACTTTAACTGTGTTAAAGCATTGCCTGCTAACACAGGATATAAAAGAGAATGTTGCACAATATTCCCACAAGGACAAAGTAATTTCAGGAATCAAATTTTACTATAGCAAAGATTTTCACAGCAGGCTGAATTACCAAATAACAGTATATGCAGTGATAACAGGGGATTTCAGGTAATTCTTGACTGTAGTGTTCCATTTGTCTCCAGCAGCACACAAACCCAGCTGATTTATTTTGTTTTCCCTACCACTCCGTAGCACTACCATCACTCACTCCTCCCAGCTGGAGGGTGAGAGAACCTCCAGAGACAAAACCCTTCCCTAGCGGGTAGCCACACAGAAGCGTGTGTGTTCTTCAGCAGATCAACGCTTCTCCGTGGTTGAGGGCTGGGTTCAACAACATCCTCAAACCAACTGACAGGCCCCAAGCACCAAACTGAAATCACTGCAGCTATGTGGCACAAAGTGCAAAGTCATATAGACTATTTCTGCCCCGTTCACATTTGTTTTTAAGATATATCCTGATGGCTTCCCTCTTTATTAACAAACTTCATGATGGACTGTATCCGTGCCATTATTACTTTGTGCTAGCTTGGCTATCATCTGTCCTGTATGTCCTGTACTGTGGGTAATGTGACGGGAATGACGTTGTGCCCATGCTTGGCCTGGTGCAAATTCATACTGCTTGGCAACCATGCACAGATTCCATATTAACGGCTGTGAAACTGTCTCCTCGGCCACTAAATACCCTCCAATCTGGGGAAGGCTCACATGCAGACATTGAGTGTGGTAGCTGAATTACAAACAACTTGTGCCAATCACACTGGGAGATCTCACCTGAGCTGGGAGCAGTATCAAAGTAATTCTCTCAGTATTCCACAGATTTATCCCCTACCTAATTATTCAAATTCTTAAACCCTTCAAATTAACATTTCACTTGGACAGTATATCTGGCTGACACTGTAACTATTTTCTTTTGTTCAGTTTCATCAGGGTAATTCTGAAAGACAAGACAGCTTGGTCTGAACAAAAGATTACATTTCTCCTTCCTAGTGGCTATGCCTTTTCATGCATAACACTGGGAGAATTCAGTACAAAAAGTTATGCTAGGCAGTAATCAAACCGAAGATGTGATCTTACACGGCACAACTGATGAGTTCCTGTTCTTCTCTTTGTTGCAGTCTTTCTGAGCACTGAAGCATTCCACGTATTTTGCATTACACTGTGTAACCAGCTGAAAGAGAATAAAGTAGTGAGTCAGTCCTCACAGTGCTCTAAATGAAGAGAGGAGGTTTCTTTGCCAACTCCTGCGAAGATGCATCAGTAGAAGAATAAACTGCATTGTTAAACTTGTTTGAAGTACTCAAGATGCCTATGGAAATCATACTTTTCATACAACATGTTTAATGGATAAAAAGATCTCTGCAGCTCTCAGCTTCAAAACATCCTGAAAATGAAGTTCCATCAAAATGTATTTTCACAGAACACTACGTTTAGTTATCTTTGAGAATATATTTCAAAGACTTGCAGATACGTTCAGTCAGAAGCAGGTCTCAAGGAAGAAAAGCTAGCAAAACAAAACAACAACAAAACTCTTATTTTTTTCTTCTAAAATAAAAGCCAGATCATTCCTGCAGAATGTCTTTTTCTTCCAGGCCTTCGGGGAACCCACCATGCCGGCATCTGAGATCCGAGGCCGTGGGTTACATTCTCTGCTCTGCCAAGTTCATTCCGAGCTGCTTATGAGGCACAAAGAAAAGTCAGGGAGGCAGATTTGTAGTTGAATGTTCCCCCAGTGTATGGGGAAACTCTACCAGAGCAAAGAGGGTAAAGGTGGCTTTTTCATCTCCTGCACTAGCAACTCATTACTCAACGAAATTTTACTCTAAGATGGTTGAATGTAAGCTACTGTACCAGGGCATGAGCACAAGTTATTTTCTGCCGGCTCTGTGGTAGCAGCAGAAACGAGAGGAAGATTTAATAATTGCTGCTGGTCATGTCCCAGTTTCAAATGCACTCTAAACAAGATAGCACTCAACTCATCTATGTACTGGCATAAGCCCCATTAGAAGTTATGGGGTTTCTAAATACCTGTGCAACGTTGGCAGAGAAAGTAATTTCTGAAAATGGCACTTAAGTTTTTGAAATTTTGCCACGAGTCATCAGAAAACATCTTTATACATATAATTTAGTATTGTTTGTAAAAGTGCAACACTTTTTTTTAATAAGAAATCTTTTTCTCCTGCTACATTTTCTGTGTGTGTGTGCGCACTTGCGCTTGTTTCTTTAATTTAGTAATTAAACATCTGGAATGTCTTGACTGATGGAGAAGTACTGAGATTTCTGCAAGTGAATTCAGAGAAAAGCCTGTTAATTTTTTGAATAGCTTGGCAGCTGGTATAATTTAACAGTTTCAGTTCCTTAGGTAGTTATTAACTGCTTAGCTGTGAAAACAGATGTCACGTATAATCTTCTTATGATACATAGTCTCAGGAAATGTTTTTAAATGCATTCAAATAAAACGCAATCAGAAAATCTTAGGTTTCAAATAGGAGATCTGGGCAAAAAAATTTACTTTGTCCAGGATGAAAGCAACTATGACATAGCAGGGAAAAGCAGCAAGCATAGTTATTAGCAATGAGAAAGGCATATTGTGTTTCCTGGTCTTAAAACATTTTTAATTCTTTATCCAGTGCTGAAATAGTAGGTGGTGCTAAGAACCTCATTTTGTGTCTTTCTCCGTATGTATGCATGAGAGCCACAGTTTGGAGGAAGACTTCCAGCTAAGCTAACCACGACTCAGGAACATCCAAGCCCCCCTGGGAACAGGGAAACCAGCAGCACACTCCAAACCAGCGTCCACGTCCCTCTTCTCGCGTCTGACTTCAAGAGTGTCAGCGTTGATTTCCAGCAGTGTAGCTAAGACTGTTGAGGACCAAACTTCTCAAGATGCTGTGCTGTGCTAATCAAGTGTTCTGGTTTGGTTCCTTATCTATGACAACTGACAGTGAAGACAGGCCATACAAAAGAGAGTAGGGAAATTAAGTCCCTCTGGGTGGCAGTGATAAGCTTTACCTTGAACTGTTTTTCTAGTCGCGTCTTCCCTCCTATGCCAGGTATGAGGATGCTGTTAACATAACTATGCAGCTGGTTTGCAGATACTTCAGTCTCCTTCCCAAGGATGGCTTCCAACAAGGCATCATGAATAAAAATGTACTGCTCCTAGAAAAACAACAGCGTGTCACGTCGGCGCTTGGAATAAACTAAACAGCTGGCTTTAACTGAGGGGTAGAGCACACTAAAGGAAAGGGTGTGCAAAACAAGTCACCCATGCAAATACTGCCAAATCCAGGATGAACTTTTACAAGTGTAGCACGTACAACTGAGTAAGTCAAAAGCAAAATCTGAAGTTTCTGGTCTAGAAAGAGAGAGACATTCCAGTGCAAAAAACACCCGGTGATATATTCAGTTTTTACAGGGATGTAACTGAAAAATCCATTTTCTTTTTGATTACAACATAAAAACGAACATGGCTTTAAATTCAACCCCGCTGCAATCTTTACCTCTGTCTGGACGAGGTAGTTGCGCTGTGTCCTGATATGTTTCAGGAAACCCAGGACGTTAACTGTGCTTTTGTCTTTTATCTGTTGCAGCATACTGTCTATCACAATGTAGGTACCAGTTCTGCCAACACCAGCACTATAGAAGACATAAGAGAAACCCATGTAATACAGCCAGACCAAAGTAAATGTTCACAACAGCAGAACAGAACTAAGCAAATATTCCTGTTCACAGACTTTCATTTCCCTGCTAGCCCCAACCATGAAAGTTTCTAAACAAAATATTTTGGGTTTCTGGGAATTTTAGCAGGTATATATTTCACAATCTGACACTTGGCTGTCCCGTCTCCACTGCTGTTGTTACTAGTGTTGGCTAGAAGAAGCCATCTAGAGATCCACCCTATGCCAAACTGCTGCTATCCTGGACCATCAAGTTGTTCCAGGCTGCGGAGCTGCCCTGGTTGGCTTCAGTCTTGAGGTACAGCTTAAGCTTCACAGTGGAGCTGTAATCCTGCTCTGGAAATGCAAGTGGTACCAGCATTACGGAAAGGCATAAAAGGGGGCTAATCCTGCAGAGGCAGGACTCCTTGAAGGGGAAGAGGGTGGTCCTGGGTCCAACAGAGAGGGTGGAGAGAGGAACTCTTCAGAGCTTCTCAATTTCTGCTCAGGAAGGAGCTCTAACCTCCATCATCCTCTCCTCTTCGCTATGGTGCTGTACAGCCCCCTCACGCACAGTGATGAAGACCGCATCCCTTAACTCGTTTAAGGGAAATCCTCTGTTGCTGGTTGCCAGCAGAAGTAATCCTGCCCTGCCCATGCACTGAATGGGCAGGCTACAAACAAGCTTTGAACAAGGAACTGCACAACCACATCAGTGCAACGCTCAGCAGCTCAGTATCGTGACACAGGGATTGGCTAATGCAGCTGGGAAGCTTTTGCATTGGAGCTGTCTTAAGATGTAGGCAAAGCAAGCTCATGTCTACCCGCACTCCATAGGGCTGGCACACTCCTTCTGTGTTAATAACTTACAGCGTTTGTCTTAGCTGGCATGTAAGAGCACACGCTGTGCACTAGGTATGATTGCCATGAAGTAGTTAATCACACCCATCATACCTGCAGTGCACCAGCACTGGTCCCATGTCCGGGGTTCTGGCTGCGGAGGATCTCCTAACGAAGGTTAGCACAGGCAGAGCGTACTCCGGCACACCCATGTCAGGCCACTGAGTGTAGTGATACTGAATAACTGTTCTCTCGTTCTGCCGCCCTTTGGGGTTTCCTTTCTGACCCTGCGTGCAAAGTGTGCGCAGAGAGAGGAGAAAGATTAGGGAAGAGAAGCATAGAAAGATACTCAATCCTACTGGCTTGCTCAGCTGAAAAAGTGCTGGACTCTAACAGAAGAAATCTTCTGCAGCTCTGCCTCCTGCTAGGTGGAGACAGAGTTCAAGGAAAAATACATGTGGGAACAGGTAATAACAGCAATAGCTGCGACACCAAAGCAGCAGTACTTGAGAAAAAGAAATACAGGCTGAACCTTTCACCAGGTTCCTTGTAATCCTGGCTTTGCTTACTTATTTCCCATCCACCTGCTACTTCAAGTTGCCTATTCAAATGCCGAGTTTTGCTCCTGTGTGCCTTGCATCCTACACAAGCCAGAAGGCATCTGGATGAGAACGGTGAAGGTTTTACTCACCTTTTTCATCTTTGTGTTCCTGACTGTGAAGCGGCGCACAGTGTAGCAGGCATGAATGTTTGTGCTCTTCAGCGTGACGATTATGTTGCCATACTCCTCACTGTTCTCTGACGGCCAGTACTGATCACATTTTCTCTGAACAAAGACATAGTTGGGTGGGTTGGCTGAGGGTTTGAGCTGCTTCTTTATATTTGTGTTTAGAGCTTTTTTAAAAAGTAAAATCGTGGCTAGCTATGTATCCCTCTGTTTTGTTAGTTACGTATTATACATCAATATATATCATCCCAAACCATTTAAAAACAAATTCTGCCCACGTGATTCGGCGAGGTGGTAAGGAGCAACTGTTAACAAACTAGAAAATCTCTTACTCTTCCTTTTTCAACAAGGTTTGTGATCATGACAATGATTCCAGTATTTTGTTCCCAAATCATCCTCCAGAAATCTTCAAAGGTAGACTTTAAAGGTCCCTGGGTAGCAATGTAGGCTTTTGCTTTGTTGTAACCCTTCAAAGAAAACCATAATGCCAAGTGAGATGAAAGCAGTATCGTGGCAGACATATTAATATTTTGAAGGTAACAAAGAAAGGTGCCTTTCTCATTCACAATAACGAGGAACTTGTAGCAAAATTATCAGGAGAAGTTGGAAAACACGACCACTTCACAAGTGGCAATACTTCCTCCTTGTGGAAGGATTTAGAGTTAGAGAAGAAAAAACAATTAAAACAACTTACATCTACATAATTAGCATTAATGTAGTCACTGTGCTTAGAATCTTTTCCTGGTAAAGGCCTTAGCTTCACCCTGCTGTGATCATCTGCAGGATAAAAAACAGAGCAGAGAAGCATTAAGGAAACACAGTGCAGAACTGCAGGTAAACATCCCATTTCCAAGGTATTGGAGTAGCCCTTATTAATACTCAGAAGAAATTGGCCTTGGATTGGAGTCAAGGGGGAGGTGGGAGTACCTGTTCTTGGTCATCTGCTCATGGTAGCAGGTCCTCAGCCTTCACATCCCTTAAAGTATGTGGTTTGTGCTGGGACAGCTTCTCTTTAAAGGACACTGGAGCCTCAGGAGCACGATCTCTAGGATCATCCACATCACACAGTGTAGTGTGATTCAGCCTGTGATTACCCCACAGGGCTGTATAACACCATGCGGAGGCACCGACTCAGCTCTCGCAGGCAGTAAAGCTGCCTTTGCTTGGCTCAGTGTCTGAGCTCATTATCCTCCACTCGGTGCTGGGCTCAGACAGTTCTACTGGCTCTGGAAGCTGAGTGAATGTCCTCACTCCTTCACCACCCTCATCACACCAAGAGGATAGACTTTAGGTCACGCTTTTTAGCTCCTCTTTTTGTTCCACCCAGATGCTTGACTTTGGCTTAAATCAGAAAAAAATGGCAGTCCTTCTCCTGCTCCGAGGCAGCAGCACTGGGCTGGGCGGCGCTTCCAACACATGCAGAGATGAGAAACGTGGGCTAACTTTAAGCATGAAGAATATGGTTTCAGTTGCCTTCCTTGAGCACCAACGGAGAGAGAGAGGTTCCTCCAGGGGCAATCTGGAGGAATGGAGTGTCTGCTCCAATTCTCCTCCAATGGTACTTCTCTCTCTGTGCCTAGAGGGACCAGACATCTGTGTCTAAAATCAGAGTTGGGACAACCGCAATGAATCCCCTTGCCCAAGGCCACAGAGCAAGTCTTTACAGGTCTGGGAATTGGTCCTCAGCTGGCACCTTGATTACTTCTGAGAATCTGTTAGAAACATGCATTTCCTTCCTATGCCATCAAAAACATTCAAGATTTACTGCAATGTTTGTGAACATTGTGAACTTTTTATCAGCGGCTCTCCATCTGTGTTCCTAAACCACAGTGACTGCTGCATCTGCCATTCGTTCCACATCAGAGAACGATATGGAAAAAGTTACCGCATTTCCACCCCAGACCTGCAATAATCTGCATTCTAGAGCAGAGTCCAGATTTGCAGTTCTCAGAGGAATACAGGCAAAGCCTGCACTGTGCTACAAAGATCACTGTTTGTCCAAGTCGTACACACGGCTGAAGCAGTTTGAAATACAGCAGATATACTCTGTAAGATTTAGCACCTTTGGGATTATAAGGGAATCCCAGGGATCATCAATAAAACTCTCTGCTCCACCATGCACTTCCCTTAGGCCAGTTTTCAGACATTAGCGGGCAGAAGAGCTCTGATCATCAATTTATCCCAGTTATTCCTCCACAAAATTTCATACCAAACTGATACTTCTAAAACTACACTTGGACCATCAAACTGCAAAACACTTTAAAAGAAAAGCTGGAGTGAAATCCTGGCCCCAGAGAAGTCAAAACATCCACTGCCTTTAGTAGGGAAATGATCTCCCAGCCACACTTTCACATGTTCATTACTTACTGTGCAATAATGTAACTTGAAGCCACCTGCCTTTTCCAGTCACACACAGACACACCATGAGAGGAGAGCGCCTTTTCGGGTTGATTCATTGTGCTTACTTACAGGCTAGGATGTTGATGTATCTGTTCTTGTGCTTGTTGTCGGGGTGGTTGGAATGCTCTGCAGTGATGTTCATGTCAGCCGTACAGCGCTGCACTTCCTAGGCATAAAAATTATTCAAATGGAAAATGCGTCAGTCCAAAAAATTTAAGCTTTATCTCCTTTTGCAACAGCTTACAGAAACCATGTTAAAAATATCGATATCTTAATTGCTGGATTAAACACAAAGTCCTTCAGTATTGTCCTGTATGACATAGTCTGCTTAAACTGAGCTGCTCCCTGGTGTGTGGTTATGCTCCTCTCCACAGACTTGGTGACATGCACTTTGGGCACCCTGAGGGACGACTGTCCCCTCTGACCAGCAGTCCATCTGTCTTCTGGACTGCATCTCCTGTGATGCCCCACTCTGTCCCCTCTTGGGAAGGGAAGACAGAGTCCCTTGAAGGCAAAAGTGGCCAGTGCAGTGTAAGAAACTAAGCACAAAACCCACTTCAACAGAAGCCTTTGACCGCTGGACAACTTATCTGCTTATAACCTCTCAAAACAGGGTTTCTGACATTTAAGTTTGGCACTGACCTTTTGTTAGTGCTCTGCAGAGAGATGCCTTTTATAAAATATAAATAAAATAGATCTTTGAAGATAACAGCGAGTGCTTTAAATACCACTGCTTGGACACTGATTAACAGCCCGCGATACAGTGAAAAAGCTAAAAGGTTGTATCCACGTATATATACATTTACAAAGCAGAAAGAGGCCAGGCTTGCCAAAGTGTTCATGAAGCTAGAGGTGCAGATTTCTGTCTAGTTGAGGCTGTAGGTTAGATACCTAATTCCCATTTTGTTTTTTTTGTTCTTAACCTACCCCTTACTTACACTGTCCAACAACAGAATACAGGGCTATTGAAGTGGGGCAGCAGAGGGTCTCTTCTCTATTCCCCTTGGCCAGACTGTGCTAGAGAGTTACACACTTCAGAGACTGTCTTTCAAATTGAATCACTAAAACTCACATGCGATACCACCTCCAAGATAAATTTTTTTTTGTATCTATTTAACCACAATCTTCCTGAAAAGAAGAACCCCTTTTTATCACTAGCATAAATATTCTTAGTTTAAAAACATATTTTTGAAAAATATGTCAATGTTTGGAGTTTACAAAGTTGTGGAAGAAACTGTATTTATTCAAACCTTTTGCGAGACCCAGAAATCGCACCGAACAGAACCAATTTCCCCCAAGGATATAATTTGGGAAGTGCCAAATTACTTTGTACTTCAGGCTTTAAAAATAACAGTATAGAACCTGCCTAAGAGGGAAAGTCATTAGGAGCTCATAGCTGCTACACAGATTGCAAGCTAAGTGACAGAGAAAAATTATCACGAGAAATGCTATACAAACAGCAGATGTAACAGAGTTCAGCATTATGCAGACATTTCGCAAAGGACTTGCATAGCAATTTTGATATCTTCCCCAGCATTTACATTTTAAAAGTGCAAAGTATACTAAAACCTTGAACATTTTATAGCTTTTATATCCACATGACACTCCCAAATAACAATTGCTTCTCTCTCTGCCCCCCCTTCTCCATAGGGAGAAACATACTACATTCAAGGAGATGAGCTGAGCAAAGACAAAGAGGAATCAAGCAAAACTCTCAGCTGGCCCTAATAGAATTTTCATAGTTTCATTTCTATCACAGAAATAAAAAAAACACATTAAAGTGTGCGCTTCCCCTAATTCTGCCTGTCAGCTCCAGTAAGCGAGGGACTTCTGATTACACAATGGGCAGGATCAGTTCAGCCTAAGTCATAACTGGAAAAGCAGCATTACTTACACGTTAGGTTGATTTAACGTAATTTCGTTTTACCTTTTTTTGCATTTAGAAATCATATAACATCACTGCTGTACCATTGTAGGTCACTCCTAAAAAATAACCCCCAGCTTCTGAAAAGCCTCACGTCAAACTCTACATCCCTGCATCACTACAAAATTCTTTTTAAAGTTATTAGCATTAAAACATTTATGCCAAATGCTGCAGAATTTAATACAGATGAATCCAGTAAGGTTCTGTGGAGAATAGTCTAAAAAGTTACAGAACTGAATAGGGAATTACCTCCCTGCTAAGGAATTTTCTCTGACAGTTTAAATACTACATAGTAAATGTATCACTTTCTGTTAAATTCTATAGGTTTTTTCCATAAGGGAATTGTTGGTGAGGTTAATCATTTTAATTAACCTTTTTATGTTGATGCTGACTGTGTTCTCAACTGTACATGTTCCCAGCTGGCCAATATAAAGTTAATAGAAGAGGAAGATTAAGCTAAGATGGTGAAAAACACAGCAAGGGAAAAGAAGGTCTGATGCTGTGAGAGCTGATCATCTGAAAATGGCTTTTCTTAACATATAACATTCTAAATGATTTTAAATACTCTGGAAAGCTGCTATAATGGTGGATTCCTATGTCTGCACACTGCAAGAACATAGAAAAAGGAGACTGCCTTTTGTTCAAGAAAAGCTTCCCCCTTGCCAAGGTGCCTCAACTATATTTGTCCTTTTAAAAATCAACGTAGAACAATAAAAGGCCATTTTGTCTTCAGCTCCACCCCCCCTCCGTCCAGGACACAACCAACGCTTTGGAACGTTGAAGTTATCCAACAAGAAGGGCCTGAGGACATCCTCCAGCTCTGTGTGGGCCACTGACAATGTTTGGCTGTGCCGGACGGACAGATCAGGTTGAGAGCAGAGGGCGGTTATTCGTGCTCTCTTACCCTCCTACATTCACCTCTCCAAATTCTAGTAGCAAATTACTAAACCACAGGCTCACCCCACCAGACAGTAAGGCAGAAGTTAACATTCCTTTGTTATGAAAGTCAAGGTGGTTGTCTTTCATCAATGCACAAAATGCTGCAAGAAGACAAGAAGGCAGCCCGTTATCTACGCCTCTGTTCAGAGTATTATTTACCCTTTGGCAGAAGAGGACAGCCCGGTGTTAATAAATATCACCCTGGAGAAAGTTCCAAAAAGTCACCATCCTAATTATGCCATTTTATCACATTTATGTATATTACGTATTTACTTTCCCAGCATTTTCTATTGCTTATGCAACGAACACCCTGCGATTTCTAAATCTTACTGGCTACCAAGTCCTTCATTTGCATTTAAAACATCACCATGATTATATTATTACTATTACAACTTAAGTTTGCAGGCAGGCCACCAGCTCAGGTCTGATACCAGGCTGCTTGTTGCAGCCTAAACAAACTCCTCTCCAATTAGCACAAAACTGCTTCTGGCACCTTGGAGTAGGACAGATAGTGTCCATATCACCACATCCATAATTCATCCACAAACTTTTCAGCTCTAGAGTCTTTTCTTTGGCTTTCCTTAATCCCGCTTAGTCTCTTCCACTGGCGGCTGTCTAGCACACTGCTGCTCTTCATGTTTAACTTTGCAGAACACATTACTGTCCAAAGATGAATGGATACAGGCTCTTATTCTGTCCTTTCAACTTATCATTGACAACCCAAGAAACCAAAGTACATGGTTTCAATTGACCGTTAGTTACTGTAAAAAGTGTTCTAGTCTATGCTATTATGGCTAATTTACCTTTTAATTATATTGTCCATGCTAATGCTAATTGGAATTTGATACACCCAGGTTTAACGACCCATTTTCATTGCCTTTCTGAAACAAGTTACAGATTAGTTTCTTCTAAACTTCAAAGAATTTCCATTTAAGTGTAAAATCAAACTGCTCCAGTGTCTTGCTGGCAATATAAGGTTCTGAGCAAGAATTTTAGCTACAGTGACTGAGCAGGAACTCGGTCTCTTGATTTGGCCTTATGCAGTGTGCTGTTGTTTCCCATTACTTCAGTCTGATGTCCTAGCAGGGGCTGAACTGTGAAAGCCTATGAATAGCAATGAGGAGGAATCATGAACAAAGAAAAGATCCTAATCTGAAGGACTAAATTAGAGAAGATCCATAGCTCTGTTTTGATATTATTGTTGTATTTTTCAGCATGAAAGCAGCTAGTTCATCCACCCCTAAAATAATTTTTGACCTATTATTTTAATCCTGAATTAGAGAATTCTGTGGTAGTGCTCTTGCTGTTTGTTTTACCACAGCAAACATGAAGATGGCACACCAACAGAGAGAGCAGACAGTATTTGAAGTTATCCCACAGGAACAGTGTAGATTTTTGCGATAATTTCTCACTAGTATTAACTCTCCGACGGCACTCAAGAGAGAGGTGAGCTGGGGACAGCCTAGAAAGCAGGGGAAAATAAACCAAAAGGACTCAACACAGGAATAACAGTGGAGGAATCATGAATAGATAGCTGAAAATTCATGTAAATGAATGAGAGAGGAGAGCATGGTGGAGGACCGTTTGCTTGCGGTATCCTGCCCTTCATTAGGCAGGGAGGTGTCAGAGCCTGACCGAAACCTTGCATTTGCCCGTGTGGGGCTATGGCTCCTCCGAGCGGGGCTTCCAGGCAGAAACTTTGGGTATGGCTGCGGTACTGTGGTTAGTAACAGAAAGCCCAGGTATCTGAACTTCTTTTATTGCTTCTCTTCAACTTTATCTCTTAATTCACAATGCCCATTTCTTAGGGTAGGTCAAGCGGTGAGATCAGAATCGAGAACTCCAGGAAGACCGTCTTCTGCAGCAATCCTTCCTCCTCCAGCTTCACAGCGCTGCTTCCCTTTGGTTTCAGTGCAGCAACGCACAGGCTGAGAATACCTCTAATTATGGCAGTTTTGGGCCAGGGTTATAAAAATTTCCCAGTGCAGTAATGTCTGCTAGCAGCATGCTTTTGAAATGGCATCTTTCTACTGCCAAATTCCTTGGTGTAGATGCAGTTATAAGCATGTGTCTGGTGTAAGCTGTGTCTAATCTGTAAGGGATGCCAGTATAACTACACAGTGTTTTTAGTGTCTCAAGAAATGTGTGAAGTGCAGCATTATCTGTCTTCAATGCAGCCCTTCGCTAGAGAATAGCATTCTGAGGTCACCGGCTAAGAAGAGCTAGTGACCCCTGCCCCAAGCAGCAGCAACCATGAGAATAACGTTAGCAAATCCCTGCCACATCGCTGAAGATATAGATTT